GATTTTCATTTTGTATTTTCATTGGTCGTTCGGAATCCTACTCAATCTTGTTTTTTAAAATTTTTTATGTTCTTTTTACATTGTACTAATTACTAATTCTATTTTTGATGTTTCAAAGATTGTGACTTCCTTATAAACCACACAAAATATTAATCATACATACGTCACTATAATCAATGTTAATACCTTTGAGGCTTTGATTGTACAGTAAATCTATTTTTGAACTTAAAAGTTTAGTATTTTGTAATACTAAAGCCATAACTTCTATAGACTTGTTTGTGGTACATTGATGCAACAATGTTTATTTTAAATTGAGTAGATTTCTAATCATTATCACTAAATACTGCAGACACACCCATGCATTACAAACTATAATTATGTATTAATGAATATTAATTTACAGATTGCACTACTGGATCAATCCGTCTTGTTGGTGGTTCACACGATTGGGAAGGAAGAGTGGAAGTGTGTGATAGTGGATCATGGGGCACTGTCTGTGATGATCTCTGGGGCTCCCCTGATGCAGCAGTAGTGTGTAGACAACTAGGCTGGGGAACAAGTGAGTTGATTCCTTTTGACAATGAATGATATATCATGACAGGTGGAACCGCTCGATCATTTGCCTACTTTGGTCAGGGTACTGGTAGTATCCTCCTGGATGATGTTCAGTGCACAGGAACAGAAGAATTTTTGACAAACTGCACACACTCGAGCACTCACAACTGTGGACACTCTGAGGACGCCGGAGTAACTTGTGACGGTTAGTTTTGGAATCCATTTGTGCTGTTAATAGCTGTATTTATTGGTTCAGTTTGTACTTCTGGTACTCTGCGTCTTGTTGGTGGATCAAATTCAAACGAGGGAAGAGTGGAACTGTGTCAAAATGGAAGGTGGGGTACAGTGTGTGATGACTCGTGGGACAACACTGATGCTGGAGTTGCATGTAGACAGCTTGGTCTAGGAACAAGTGAGTTAGCTAATATGATGTGTTGTGAGTAGTTTCCTGTGATTAATTGTAGTTGGGACAGCTCGCAGCAGTGCATACTTT